GGCATCCCAGGCCAGGCGTCCCCAGGCTGACCTGGGATGGCCAAAGGGGGTTTTCTAGCACTGAGAACCTGGGTTGGTACAGGCTTGGACAGAGCTCTCTACATGCGGGAATCAGGCTCAGGGCAGGAGCTGGGGACCCTGAGGCTGGTCAGGAAGGGCTGGGACCTCCAGGGTCCCAGGTGACAGAACCAGGCCCCACAGACACGATCCACAGAGGACCCCTCCCCTTCCTCAAACCAGGCCACAAACCCCTCCCTGCCCCCTGCCAACCACACAAAGTCTGGACGATGCCAGGGCTGGGGGACAGGGAAGGAGCAGCTTACGTCTGTTGAACATCCACCTTCTCCCAGGCTCTTGTGCTCTATTATCTCAGGTAATGTTCTAACCGCCCTTTGAAGTAGGTAGTTTATAGAGTGCTCAGTGACAGAAGACAGACTTAAAGCTCAGATAGGTTTGAGACTTGCCCAAGGCCCCAGTGAGCCATGGGACTGGCACACAGTCAGTATTCAAGAATCTCTGCTGCATAGAAATGAGCCCTGATGGTAACTTCTAGAGAGGCAGAGGTCTCCAGGACTCCCAGCACAAGACCAGTTCCTTTCCAGGGGCACCTGTACCCAAGGTGGGAGGGGTCCTGGCCGAGCAGGGCCTCCTCAGAAAGAGCTTGGACTTCAGGCTGGGGCCGGGGGTGGCCAGAGCGACCCAGAGTCAGCTCAGTTCAGGCCTGTCCACTGCTGGAGAGTGTGATGGCCCTTCCACCTTCCCAGGGGGCCCTATTTCCTTCTACTTGACCCAAATCCTTACTGGGCCTCCACCCTGTGCCTGTCCCGCTCACTCCACAGGGTGCTGCAGGGAATGAAGGGAGGGGAGAGGACACAGAGACAAAAAGACCTGGTTCCCGTCCTCGGGGAACCTGCACTTTTTGCAGACATAATGACAGGGCATGGGTCAGCACCGCCACAGTGTTCATGATCACTGAGTGACTGTGGGCCTAGCCCCACACTCAGCATGTCACATGCTTGTCTCATTGACCCATGGTTTAAAAACAACCTGCAGGGGCTTCTCTGGTAGCTCAATGGTCAGGAATCTGCCTGCCAACACAGGAGACACAGGTTCGATCCCTGATCCGGGAAGATCCCACATGCCACCGGAACAACTAAGCCTGTGAGCCACCAGTTCCTAAGCCTGTGCTCTAGAGCCCAGGAACTGCAACTACTGAGCTCTTGTGCTACAGCTACTGAAGCCCACTCACCTTAGAGCCTGTGCTCTGCAACAAGAGAAGCCACCACAATGAGAAGCCCGCGCATCGCAACTAGAGAGTAGCCCCAGCTCTTTGCAACTAGAGAAAAGGCCACATAGCAATGAAGACACAGTACAGCCAAAAATAAATAAGTACATAAACATTTTTTTAAAACACTGCAAAGTGGCTACTGCTTCCATTTTATAGATGAGGAAAATGAGCTTTAGTCTCTTGCTTCAGGTCACCCAGCTAGGAAATGGCAGAGCTGAGATTCAAATCTGGGACAGTCAAGACTATAGGACTGTGATCCTGACCACAAAACTCCAATAACTTTGACCTGAAGCAGAAACTCCATTCCAGAAAGCTGGACTGAGTATGCCGAGGGAGGGATGAAAGGGAGCCAGGGGCCTGTGAAGGGAACAGAGGAGGCAAAGTGCACTCTCAAGAGGGCTGCAGCCTGAGTCAAGGTTCATGGTACAAATCGTCCCATTAAGACAGAACCTGGGCGTGGGAAGGGAGTGCCTTTGGGGAGAGAGATGAAGGACTGAGCCGGCAGAGCAGATGCTAGGGGACAGACCCCACCCTGGTGCAGCCTAGGCTCTTCACAGAGGCTTGTGTCCTCAGGGTCAATGGCCAGTCCAGGTGGGAGCTTCTCCAGGGCTGGGCCACCCTCCTCAGCTCTGTGTCAACCTCCCGCCTTACTCCTTGTGGCCCAGATGCCTTCCTGGGTCAGCTGTTGGGACTAAGCTGTCCCCGAGCAAACGGAAAGCCTGAGCCACTCAGAGACTGCTGGGTCTGTGGGCTGAGCTGGAGATCTGGACAATGATGGGAGCAGATAGCACCCACGTGGGTGGTCTCCGGGAGAGCCTGAGAGGAAACCAGGAGGCGCGCCTCTGTCCTTGGCCTGGGCTCCCAGAGCTCAGCTGGAGCAGGCGAGTCCACGCTGTAGGCTGGGTTGGCTGCAGGGCCTCCAGGCCCCTCGGAGTCTGTCCCCAGATCATTGCTGGTCATCACGAATCACTCCTAGGCAGCCATAACTGCCTGCTGGCCCACCCTGCCGGCAGCTCCTGGTTGGGGTGGGGAGGGCTCTCCTGCACCCGAGGATGGGAGGGGGTGATAATTCTACAGCTACAGTCCTGGGCAGCTCCTCTCCGCTCTCTGCCCTCGGCCACCCTCTCCTCTCGTCAGCCCATCATCTGCTCCTCCATCAACAGGAGCTGCTCCTGGGGCCCCAGAGCAGGCAGGACCCTGGGCTGGTCTCCCGGGCCCAAGGGTGACTGGGAGGTAGGGATGGGGCAGGGCCAAGGGCAGCGAGCCCTGAGCGAAGGCACTGGGCCGGTGTCTGAGCCCAGCTCTCCCTGGCTCATGCTCCTGGCAGGAAGCCCAGGCTCAGAGCTGGCCTCACAGGCTGATTCGTGACTGAGAAGCTGCCTCCTGGGCCCTGCTCTGGGTGGGAGGGGCCTGGGAAAGTCAAGTTGTGGGGCCTGCGTGGCCCTGTGGGGCCGGCCCAGGCTGTGTGTGGGGGCCCGAGAAGCATGGAAAAGCCGTTTTCTTCATTAAGCATCTGGGTAAAGGTTGACGGACTCAGCAGGAAGGCTTTTCCAATTATCCAGACTTGGCCTGGCAGCCGGGCCCCGGAGGGGAGCAGGTTTGCCTCCTTTGGTCTTTAGAAGGCTCCTCGCTCTCCTTGCTGCCATGGTAATTAATGAGGGCCTGTTTGAGGGGTGGGCAGCATTTTTCCATACCAACCTGCCATCCAGCTGCCCTGCTGCAGCCCTGGCTCTGGAACTCAGGAGGAGCAAGGATCCCAGGTCATGGCAGCCATCCCCAGAGTGAGCTGGGTGCCCACTTAAAGGCCAAGCTTGGGTGACACAGGGACAGAGATGTGGCCACTACAGGCTCTCAGGCCACCTCGTATGTAGTGGCTGTGGTGGCCACAATAACCTCTGCAGGTGGCCAGGATGGTGAGGATCAGACACCAGTGATCAGCCCCTCGATTTCTCTGGAAGTCATTGGCTAGAGTTCTGCTCTCAAAGAGCACTATGCCCGGGGGATCCCTGTGCATAGGAACCTTCAGTTTTGAAGGTAGACTAAGAAGGACTTCCCTGGTTGCTCAGATGGTAAAGAGTCTGCCTGCAATGCAGGAGACCTGGGTTCAATCCCTGGACCAGAAAGATACCTTGGAGAAGGAAATAGCAACTCACTCCAGTATTCTTGTCTGGAGAATTCCAAGGACAGAGGGGCCTGGAGGGCTATAGTCCATGGGGTTGCAAAAGAGTTGGAAACGACTGAGCGATGACACTTTTTCACTTTCAAGAAGGGCCAGTGCCTGGTTGGATGACGGATTAGAGAGAGTGGGGGTGATGTTTCTTGGCAACTTGGGGTGTCATCATCTGAGCCCAAGGCCCCTCTGGGCCTATGTAGTCACCCTTTAGTTCCAGAGGATCCCCCATCCCATCTGCTTCCAAGGTGGGATGACTGAGGTCTTATCTGCCTGGCTCCAGTTGCTCTATGGGGTCAGTGCTCTAAAGACTCACAAACTTTCCCTCTACTCGTAACTAAAAATCATGAAAAAGTCCAAACACACTCAAAAGAAGGAAAAAGTATCGTGACCCACACCCCTACCCCCTCCCATCAGTCCACCGTTCAGCTTCAATACCCATCAACATTTTCTAATCTCTCCTACTTCCCACTCCACTTTTAAAAAATATTTGGAAATAATCCTAAGCATCATGTTATCACCAATAAATACTTCCCGTCTCCTGGCAGGGGCCACGTGGAAGTGACCTGAGCAGTTTCCACATCAGTCTCCTTTGGGTCAGGGCCTGCCCTTGTCACCTCTGTAGTCCAGCTCCTAGCTCTCTTCTTCAGGGAGAGATCACTGAGCTGAGGTGACCCGTGATGTGACCTGTGTTCTGAATGACAACCTCCAGCTCTAATTTCTATGTCCGAGAAATCAGTCTGCTGCTCCTAGAAGGAGTATGACCTAGAGATTGTTGTGGAAACAGCTCAGGCTGCTTTCATGTGGCCACTGCCAGGAGACAAGCCTTCCTAGAATAGCTTGGCTCCAGGAAGACGTGACTTCTCCCTGCCTCGGGGCTCCTGTTCATCACCTCCTCTGAGAAGCCCTCCCTGACCAGCCTGGGGTTGCTCCAGTGCCCGCAGCCTCAACCCCCAGCACTGTTAAGATGACTATTCAGGGTGTCTGGGGCTTTCTGAAGGGCAGCACTGTGTTCTGCTTCACATGCAGCCATCACACCAGGGAAGTCCTGTATGTTTGCAGCATGACAGAGGGTGTGCAAATAAAGGATTGAATTTGCAGGAGAACAAGTTGGTGGACTAAAGAAATGACTGGAAGCATGTGGCAATGGGGAAATGCTCTTTGTTAGAGTCTCTGTCCATCTTCAGAAACTGGAAAACAGATGGAGCAGGTGAAAGTGTTAGGGACACTTCTCTGCTGGCAAGAGGGTCTCCTGCCCCTGCCCATCAGCCAGAGCTTGTCCTGTCCAGTGTTGTTGACCTCTCTGAAGCCCCAGGGCAGTTTCTCTCCCTGCCCTGGGCTGGGAACAGGCATGGGGCTCAGCGCAGGCCCAGACTCTGCGCCTGCTGATGGGGTCTGTTTGCACAGCATCATCTGGTTTCAATCCAGTGGAATCTTCCAACTTTCCACGGGAATGTCTTCTATTTTAAACTCTCCCGGATGGGCTGGGCAAACCCAGCCTGAGTAGCCTGTGAGCCCCTGAGCAACTGCTGGGGGACTCACCTCCCCGAACCAGCCAGCCCCCATCAGCAGGAGCAGGCACGGTGGTGGGGGTGGTGGGGCTCCAGCTCCACCCAGGACTCCCTGGATGACCTCAAGCCCATCCCTCTTCCTTCTGGACCACAATCTCCTCATCTTTACGGTGGAGGGTTAATAGCAGGATTCAAATCCTGGCACCACCCTCAGTTAACTGTATGAATGTTACAGAGCTCCTCAGGCTTCAGCTTCTTCATCTGTAAAACGGAAATAAGTTGAGTTGTTAGGATTGTATGAGTGAAGTTCTCTGCACAGTGTCTGGGCAATGGCAAGGCCTAAACTTTGCTGCTGTCACTCAGCTGTGTTCGACTCTTTGCGACCCCATGGACTGCAACATGCCAGGCTTCCCTGCCCTTCACCACCCTCCGGAGCTTGTTCAAACCAAGTGCTGGTTATTATGGATCCGGAATTTCTTATCTAGAACATTTGGTCATTTGTGTTTCAGAGTTTATACGTTATTGCATTTTTAGGAAGGTAATATAAATACCTCATCTAATGCAGCAAGGTTTGGGCAGCACCCCATGATGAAACACACTGCTGTTTCTTCATTAACGCCCATGACTATTCACCCTAAGTGGGAAAAATTATAGGTAGTCTCATGTTTGATCAGACCAGATTCTTACGCCAAATAAGCTATAAAAAAAAACAAACTTGGGTTTTCAGTGCTTAGGGGAGTTTAGAGTGGCAGATGAAGGACTGAGGAAGGTGTATTGTTATTATGCTGGTCTCTTCAGGAGGAAATGCTGGAATGCTTTCCACTGCTCTGTGGTGGCTCCCCGGTGGCTCTGGGCCATGGTCAGGGTGGGCAACGTGTGGAGCCAAACATGAAGGGTGGCAGGGCACTCCTGCCCAACTGGACCGCCCACCATGGCCTACCCTGGAGAGTGCCCAGTCAGGTGGGGCCTCCACCAGGTACCGGGCACCTCTGTGTGAATTTGAGTAAAGCACCCCTCCGTGCAGGGCTTCCCAGGCGGCTCGGTGGTAAAGAATCCACCTGCCGATACAAGAGACATGGGTTGGATCCCTGGCTTGGGAAGATCCCCTGGAGAAGGACATGGCAACCCACTCCAGTATTCTTGCCTGGGAAAGCCCATGGACAGGGGAGCCTGGCAGGTTCCAGTTCCAGGGGTTCACAAAGAGTCGGACATGACTTAGCAACTAAACAACAGCAATCCCCCTGTGCAGGCTCAGCACCCACGGGAGTGAGATACAGTAAACAGACCCCAAACTGTGAGCCGGGAATGCATCCTTTCCTCTGGGCAGGCCAGCAGCACGTCAGCAAACCACACAGCCCAATAGCGTGGCCCTGCCCCGACGGACACTGACAGACACCGGAGGGGCTGGCTTCACCCTCACGCTGTGGGCTCACCTATTGTCTAAGAGCTGTGAACCACAGAAGCTGCCTGTGGCGCACAGCAGTGGAAGGAGCCCCGTCAGGTCAGGCCATCTATCTGGGGGCACCTGAGGCTGATTTCTGACACATCTCCCTCCCTCTCCTCACTGCCCTCTGCTCTGGTCACTTGGGCCCCGGGACACAGGCTCAGGGTGGTGTGGGGAGAAGGGAAAAAGCTCCTTTCATCTTAGAACAAGTGGGATTCTGGACTGACATCCTCACGGGATCATCTCAATCAACACATCCCAAATAAGGGGTGCCCTGCCCTGGACGTTCGCCCAGAGTTGTAGCATTTACAGATCACTGTTATGGACTCCAACTCGATACTCAGAGAGTCTCATTACCCCTGTTGTATATCTCAAAAAAACCAGGTTCAGTGGTGAAGTGACTGGCCCAAGGTCACACAGCACCGGCTGGTGGAGCTTAGGCTTCCTGCCTCCCCTTCCAGCGCTCTTTCCCACACGTCTTGGCCACTGGGGTCCCCACCTCACAGCTTGTCCAGCAGTGGCCTCACAGGGACACCTTCCCCACTGCCCAGACGGATCCTGAAGGCAGACACCTGGCCGAAGGCAGGTGTGGGAGAAGGCGTTGCCCAGCAGCTGGGGTGGGACCTGGCCCCAGGGTCCCAGCCATGCTGGCCAGGAGGCGTCCTGTGCTTGCACCACCTTGGGCTTGGGGAATTCCCCCTTGCTGGCTGCCCAAGGGTTAAACACAACACGTCAGCTAACAATAAAATACACAGAGCAAACAAGACAACAGCCGGTGTGGATTAAGGAGATTAATGCTTATAAAAATGCTTTGAGCCCCTGGAAGAAAGGAGACGCCAAACACGAAGCTTCCTTCCCCAGACTTAGGTCACCGTCAGACGGCTCTGAGCCTCATAATGGAGACGAGGTGGGGTGGGGGGACAAGGTCCACCGCTCAGGGCATCCTGTGAGGAAGGGGGGTGGACACCAACAGCCGGACTCAAGGGGACAGTCTTGCCAACATCACGCAGACCACAAGGCAGAGGGACGTCAGATCCCGCCCTGTGTGTGCGGCCTCGCCAGCCTCAGGGCTCCGGTCGGCATGGGTGGTCTCCAGGGTCTCAGAGTCAGGCCAGGCACCCTGAGGACCGGGCCCTGGCCTACCACAGTGGACGGGTGTGGCAGCCCCACCAGTGGGGTAAGGGTGGCTCTGGTGGGGCTCTAGGTGGGCCAAGGGCTAAGAAGAGACAGGAGCCTGAAGCAGATACGTCCAGCCTGGACGGGAATAGACACCATGTGAGGAAACAGTACCCAAAACAGACGCAGCGTCGTGGCTCCCAGGCGGGACAGGAGGAAACAGGTGACCAGCCCAGGGCTGGGTCAGCATTCCAGCTACCACTGTCCCCTCTGGCCTCCCCCAGGCCCACGGGATCTCCAACAGCGAGCTGCAGCTCCAGCCTCAGCTGGCCAGGGAGCCCTTCCAAAATAGGCCAGGTGACCTACATCAGGGCTGCAGGCAGTCTCTACAGGGTCTGAAGGCAAATTGGAAAAAGGTGCTTCTACTGGGCCACTGCCCCAGGGTCCGCCCTAGGATTTGCAGAGTAGCTGGGGGTGGGAAGGTGGGGCACTGTGGGGTCAGTGCTGCACTTTGACCTCCTCTACCTTACCGTTCAAGGTGGTCCTGACAGGGGAAGGCCCCCTGCAGATCACGACCTTCCCGCCTTCCTTCAGGTCATCTTCCTTCCCTCCTCATCCTCATGCTGGCCCCCTGATACTGGGGAAGAGCCTGCTTGGCCCCTGCCTCAGCTGAGTCCAAGAGGAAGGTGAAAAATCACGGGAGTTAAATTGGGCTTTAGCCTCATGCTGGGTCCCTGCTCCTCAGGTTGCCCACTTGTGTTAGCATTAGCCCCGATGATCTTGATGGCCCTCAGAAAACAGTAAAAGTTGCCTGTTGCCTGGTAGGGCCCGCTGCCATCTGCCTTTCCCATCGGGTGGCAGGAGTAGAGGCAGAGAGAGGGGCTGAGGGTGTGAGAAACACGGGAAGGGTTGGGCTCTGGGTCTCTCCTCACTGCCCAGACCTCCTGTGTCCCAGGGAGACTCAAGGGCTTCACTGCTCTTTGCCTGCCACCCCTGGATGTTCTGGGTTCCAGCACTGAATTTCTGAATGGGTTCCCAGGGGACCCGAGGCAAGTCCATACCAGGCCTCGGGGATGGGGCAAGTTCCGGGAAGGGAAGTCGGAGGGCCATGTCCTGCCCCTTTCGCTTTTCTCCTTTAGGTCTTGGATCAAATGTCACCTCCTCAGTGAGGCCTTCCCTGACCACCCTGGTTAAAAGCGCACTCCTACCCCTCCCTGCTTTATTTTCCTCCTCCCTTATCGTCTACCATGTGTACCATTTCCTCCATATCCTGTTTGTGCTCTCTCCCCAGTGGAAGCTCCACGAGGGCAGGGACTGTTACGCTCTATGCACTGCTGTTCTTGAACAGTGCCTGGGCAACAAATACATGCTCAAGCAATAACTGAATATGCATCCAAACTAAGCATCACGTGCTCCTTAGCCTCTCTGCAGAGCCTGCCAGGAGGATGGAACATCACCGTGAGGTAAAGGGATAAAGTATTGGTGGGGCCAAGAGGCTGAATGTGTGCACAGCTGTCTCCTCTTCCAGGAAGCCCTCCCTGATGTGCATGGCCTGGACCTAAGCAGTGTGAATCTGCTTTCACCACACAGCTCATCACTGTCTCCCCTGTCAGCAGTGGGGGGTGAGGGGAGGAGTTGCTGCTGTTCAGTCACTCAGTCGTATCCAACTCTTTGCAACCCCATGGACTGCAGCACACCAAGCTCGCCTCTCCTTTACCATCTCCTGGAGCTTGTTCAAGCTCATGTCCATCAAGTCAGTGATGCCATTCAACCATCTCATCCTCTGTCATCCCCTTCTCCTCCTGCCTTCAGTCTTTCCCAGCATCAAGGTCTTTTCCAATGAGTCAGCTCCTCGCGTCAGGTGGCCAAAGTATTGGAGCTTCAGCTTCAGCATCAGTCCTTCCAATGAATATTCAGGATCGATCTCCTTTAGGATTGACTAGTTTGAACTCTTTGCAGTCCAAGGGACTCTCAAGAGTCTTCTCCAAAACCACAGTTCAAAAGTATCAATTCTTCAGTGCTCAGCCTTCTTTATGGTCCAACTCTCACATCCATACGTGACTACTGGAAGAACCATAGCTTTGACTAGACTGACCTTTGGTACTTGCCTTATCCTCCTGGCTCTTCTGGGGCAGGGCTGGTTTTATCATCAGTACAGCCTCAGTGCCAGGATCAGGGGTGGGGTGCTGACAGACGGAATTCGCAATTCCCACATCTGGGCCCATAGAAAGTACTCAATAAACAAGTGTGGAAGGGATGAAGGGCTACCTGGCTGGGCACTGATTTCTGTTCTACGTCACATCCGTTTATCCTAAACTGACAGCCTGGGATCACCTGTGTCCTGCTTGAACTCTCCGTCTTTCAGCTCCAGGATAGCCCTGGCATCTCTTCCTACAGCCTCTGCAGGGCTGGCCACCCTTCCATGGGTGTGGGACTCTCCTCAAGGTTTCTGGATGACGTTACCGTCTCCAGCCCCGGAAACCTGCTTTTCACCCTCTGGGCAGCCTGTCAAGACCCAGGTGGCTCACATGTGAGAGAGAGGAGAAGGAGGTACTAGAGAGGGAGCTGTGATGGTTACACTGGGTGTCCTTCTGTTTCTCCATTTAACCCCTGGGCCTGGCCCAGGCAGACCAGGCTTTCCAAGTGGGGGTCCGAAAGGCAGGAAAGAGGTCCACCATTGACAAGATTTTAAGGAAAGCTAATACCTACTGCTTGTTTACCAGCAAGCAGGAACCCCAGCTAGTAAAGTGTTCTAGTTTTGACTGGAAACGTGCCCATTCAGTGAGGTAACTTCCAGTCTCTGGTGTTCACTGGAATGTAAGCAAGTATGTAAGTCATTGGTTTCAAATGATTACTTAAGAAATGCAGTGGAATAAGCAAAACTTTCTGAAATAAGGGGGTCTTAGGAGCTTGACAGAAGTGACAAGTTGGGGAGCCCAGGTTCACTCAGCACAGGCTTGCTGGGGACCCCAGGAGGGGAGGAGGTGGCTGTGGGCCCGTGGGACTGCAGGAGGCTGGCAGCATGGGTTCTCAGATGTTCTAGGAAGGAGCCGCATCTATGAGACTGGACGGCAGGGGCAGAAAAGGATTTTTTTTTTTTTTTTGGTCAGGTGATGCTCAAGGGCAGGGATGTTAAAGGAAAGGAAGCAGTTAAGAAGAAGGCGAGGGACAGCCTGTGTCAGACCGAAAATTCGCTAACACCAAAGACAGCCTTGTCTGGACATTGACTCTGCCAGCGCTGGTCTCACCGTCCCTCATGGCTGGATTCACCAAGTCTGCTGCCAGGCCCAGGATACAGGCAGTTGCCCCATTTCACAGGGTAGGAAACTGAGGTCAAGCGGCTTACTCAAGTCCACGCCTCCAGAAAGTGGTGGAGGCGGCCTTTGACTCAGGCCAGCTGGCTCCAGAGCCCACGGCCTCAACTCCAACAACAAGCCAATTAGCCCAGGGCTTGTTTCACCTACATGAGGCTCCAGCCTGGGGAAATTTCTGGAAGGGGTCGCTGCCTGGTGGCTGCTGGCTGGCCAACAGCTGGAGTGGGCGAGGTTGGGGGGGGTGTCACCCGCTCTGGGAGGCTAGGGTGACAGCAGGTGAGGTGACGGGGTGGCCTGGGGGCAGCTTGGGGTGTCAGTGCAGGTGGAAGGCAGGGAGATGGCTGGGTTGTGCAACCCGCTGGCCAGAACAGGCTGAGCACCATGGCGTGGAGTCGGGGTGAGGCGTCTGCCCCGACTTGGACCTATGCTGAGTCCCAGGAGGGACCACTGAGACAGGATAAGCAGGGTCAGGCCAGCTAAATCCCTGGCTGTGCGCATGTGTGGGTGTGCACATGCTTCCAGGTGAACTGCGTCTCCCCTCAGGGCAGTCTGACCTGTCAGCGACCCCTGCCCCAGTCCTCGTGCTCCCAGGCATGGCACGACAACAGCCTTCAGCTGGGCTATAAAATAAATCCAAGGGAAAACCCCTCCAAGAACCTACTTAACTCATGCACCCGCATGATCCGTGTCATTCAAAATTTCCCCTGGGGAGGTAGGAGACGCTGCCTTCCTCAAATGACCTTGACCTTCTCAGGAATTGCCAGCAGAGCCCTGACCCCTCCCTTTGACTCTCTCTGCAGCAGTGGCCTGTCCTAGTGCTTTGAAGGGTCAGAGGACCAAGAAGGCAATGGATGCGAAGGACCCAGAGCAAGGGCCTGGAATATCACTCATGGTGTCACTATTAAGAGCCACCCACCACCTTATTTCTAGAGGTACCTGGTACCCTCCTAGCTTCTACTCTGTTGGCACCTACCCAAACAGCCACAGGTCTCCAGGAGCTGGGGAGTTTCATTTTGTGGCAGAAATGTGGTCATGGAATCAAAAGGAATGAATTTTCTTGAGTGGCTTCTAAAGCGGTTCCAAGGGCATTTTCTAAGAGAACCTGGAATGAGGAGACCTTTGTAGAGGGACTCTGCCCTCTGGGGGCTTTAAAAAAGGGGCTGGTGGGCTGTGCTTTGGAGGAACAAGTGTGTCCCACACCATCTGGCTCATCCCAAGATGGTACCAAGGCAGCTGACCCAGGGCAGGGAGGGCTATCTGGCCACTCCTGGGGCCTGTGGGGCTACTTTTATTGCCATCATTAATCATAATTCATCGTGACCCCAACTATGACCTTGCAGGCTTGTAAAGTGTGGTTCTTCTCAGGGAATCAGAGAAGAATGAAGGAGCCAATGTGGGAACCCTGAGGAAGAAAACATGAGTTATGTTATGAAATAACCCTTGGAGTTATTTCATATTTAACCTGGAGTCAGTCATGGATCCTGCTGTCTTTGGTAATACCTTGGTAATTTTCCTTAATGATTACAACAACTATTTTCATCTTGTTTTTCCCAGATATTAGGCCATTATTTCAACCAAGTGTGTGTTGGACTTTAACCTGAGAATAGGCACAAGCTTTGAAGTCAGACTTTCTTTTTTAAACTGTAGGCTGACCCTGGCTCAACCATCTGAAAATCAACTGGTATTTATATTTAGGTAGCCACATAGATAGATCCATCCATGTTTACAAAGACTGCTGCAGAGCATCTTACTGGGGGCACAGACACACAGAACCACTGTGTGAAGCCTGACCTTGGAACCAGCAGCCTTGGGCATCTGACCCTGACCAGTCCCAACCACCCAAGTCCCTCTTCCTCCTGGGAAAAATAGCAAAAACAGGTATATGAATGTCTTATACAGAGCTATGCACACAGTAGATGCTCAATAAATCTCTCTTCATTTGGGGAAGCAGGAAAAAGGAAGTAGAAACAGAGATCTGAGTTCACTTCCTTTGTGTAATCAGGAAGGGGATGGAAAGGGAGAGAATGAGCGTTAGGGAGGGAAAGTTAGAAATGATGGATGAATAAGGAAATGTACCAGTTTCCTGTCTGTGGGTAAGTTATTTAACTTCTTTGAGGCTTAGTTTCTCTATAAGATGGGGATCATAACAGCTACCTCGCTTAGTTGTTTCGAGGATTAGAAAAGCAGCTAGTGGGACTTCCCTGGTGGTCCAGTGGCTAAAACTCCAAGCTCCCAGTGCAGGCAGCCTGGGTTCCATTCCTGACTAGGGAACTAGATCCCACATGCCACAGCTAAAGATCCTGGATGCTACAACTAAGACCAAATATCCTATGTGTCGCAACTTAAGACCCAGAGCAGCCAAGTAAATAAATAAATATTTGTAAAAAAGAAAGAAAGAAAAGCAGCTAGTATGGAATTATCACTCATAGCTCCCTAAGGACAGTGATCAGAGTGACCTCCACTCAGTACACTGTGACTGTCACATACCTGGTCTACTCTCTTGGCTTTTATTCTCCTGCCACTGCACATAAGCACCAAAGATACATAAAGGGGATGTTTCTTGTTTTCATTTTTAAAAGCACCAGTGAATTAAGACGATGCCATTGAGAGAATTCGATGTCACCTTACCATTAGATGCTGTTTTAACATTCACATTAAGAACTGTGGGACAGGCCAGTTCCCATGAACTGGGGCAGAGTCTGGGCACTTTCTATTTATAGGCCCAAGCAAGAGGCCAACCGAGTGTGGTCATTTCTCTGGCTAGGCTGAGACTCCAAAACAAGGACCTGTAGCTGTCAGGAACTGAAACTGAGTCAGAAGCAAAAGTCGCTTGTGCTGTTCTGATTCTCCTGCCCATTGGAGGTGGGGGCAAAAAAACTAGGTCACTGCGAGCACCTGGGGACCTGCTGAGTTAAAGCAAGACTAGTGTCGGGGTAGGGGAGGAGGGAACGTTCATGAATACATCTAAATCCCTCATTTATTAAAATCAGGATGACATCATCTTCTCTTCCTAGTCGTAAAGACAGGGTCACTCTTCCAAAGGCCACATTCTTTGGCAAAACGTTTTTTGGGTCTCCACACTCTACAGCATTCAGGATCTCAGTTCCCCGATCAGGGATCAAACCCATGCCTCCTGCAATGGAACCATGGAGTCTTAACCACTGGACTGCCAGGCAAGTCCAAGCAGGACTTTCAAATAAGGGCATTCTGACTTATTAGGAAAAGGCCAAAGTCAATATCAAAAAATCCTTTTTCTGCTCTGTAACAGCCATGGTTTAGCAAACGTTTCTGTGTGCCAAGCTCCTTACTTGGTGCTTCATGTACTTTTCTTATTTAATTCTCACCACTCTGGGAGGCAGATGGTATTTATTCCCATTTTACAGATGAGAATAATAAAACTCAGCGAGATTTAAGATCCACACTGGAGCCTGCTCACTCCAACAGGCTTCCACCATGTGGCTCTCCATGTTTTCCCCAAGCCTGCGTCTAGTGACCTTATGCTGGGAGCTTGGAATTGGTCATTATGGGAGCATTCACACCATGAAAAGCAGAAAATGATACAAACGAGGCTCCTCCTCCCCCAACCCTCATCTTCTATCCTCGTCTTCTTTTTTAAACTGCTGAAAAACAGCTTGTTATATATTTGCTAGTGACTCAGTGGGCAGAGCCAGGATTCAAATATGTCTCCTCCTAAAGCTCACCCACTTTCCAGTTCATCCTGAGGAGTAAATTTGCCTGTCTCTCTTTCTCTAACGAAGCACCATCTCTGTTGGTGGTGGGTCCTCAGGAAGCCGAACGGCTAGAAGGATGAACACTTGCTTCTCCAGTCTCTTGTGCCTCCTCCCCGGCACCCCAGGAGATGCTCTGATCCAGTTATTAGCAGCAAATACTCATAACACCTTTTCCTTGTCTGTGCGGAGCTTAAGGATGCAACTGAAATTACAAGGGCTGAGTAAGCTGGAGAGAGGATTTACGAGGTAATAATAATGTGCTCTCATATATGGCACTTTTCATCTTCAAAGCATTTTATAGCCATTTACTAATTAGTCCTGAGCTGCACTCTGTGTGCAGATACAATGCAGTGACAGGCCAAACTAGCAAGAAGTGTTTAAAAAACACAGAGGCGACTGTCGCCCATTTACAAGTGCCACTTGCTTCTGTTGCTGTTGGGGGTGGAGATAAAAATCTCACAAATACTGGTTCTGAGTCCCTGGCATTTGAACTATGAAGTGGCTGTTGTCACCTTCTGTAGTTTGGCTGCCCCTAAGAAAAGCAGCCCAAACCTTCCCTCTGTGCTACTGGGGCTGAAAGTCTTCTCAAAAGTCCTATCATCTCCACGCTCACAAAGCTACACATAGTACATCATCCTTCAGTGGGGGAAAAAACCTGTTTGTTTATTAGTGTGCATGTGTGTTTAGCTGTTCAGTCATGTCTGACTCTTTGCGACCCCATGGACTGTAGCCCACCAAGTTCCTCTGTCCATGGGATTTTCCAGGCAAGAATGCTGGAGTGGGTTGCCATTTCCTACTCCAGGGGATCTTCCCGACCCAGGGATTGAACCTGAGTCTCTTCCATCTCTTGCATTGCAGGCAGATCCTTTACCGCTGAACCACCAGGGAAGCCCTTGTTTCCTAGAGTTACGGACAAAAGTGAGAAGCAGCACTGGATCTGGAGCATGGGCTGAGTCCCGACTGGCACCGACTAGCTGGTGATCATGGGTAACTCAATTAACCTCTGTGATCTTGTTTCCTCATCTGTGGAACAAGGGCGACCCTCCTCACTTGCTTATTTCACAGGTCTACTGTAGAGATGTGCTGAGATAAAGCACAGATAGCACTTCTGGTTGGTCGGGCATGCTTCACAGATGTGTGGGCTACCATGGACGATCTGGCCAGCCTGAGCCGTCTGGACCCCTAGAGGTTGGCAAGGGCAGGAAGGCCACTCCTGAGTTGCACTGCCCAGGACTGGCTGCTGCCACTACTGACTGGCTATTTGAAATGCCAAGGGTCCAGGCCATGTGATCGCACCCATCTCATAACTGCCAACCAGCCCCTGCTAGAACTCGAGCTGGAAACCCCTACTGGGTCTGAAACAAAGTCTGACTCAGTCTACTCTTGGTTCCATGGGCATCGAGCCCAATCCATGCCCCTCCATCCTAAGTGACCGTGTCATGGAGCAGGAGAGTGGAGCTTGGCCCACAGCTGGCCTGATGTAGAGGAGGCAGGCAGCTGATCAGGAGAGACTCCAGCGTGGTCATGACCACTTGCTCAACAGAATCACCTGGGGAGTTTTATCAAAATCCAGACACCCAAGCCTCAGCTAACAAGATGTGATTCAGCAGGCTGGCAGTGGGGCCCTGGGCAGTGGTTCTTTAAAAAGCTCCTGGGGTGGTTTTGACTACACAGAGAAGGGACTTACTCAGGGTCACACAGCTGGCTGACGGCAGAGCTGGGGTGCAGAAATGGGACGCCGGACTGTTCTCTGTCACAGGAATTCCCAAGGCTTCAAGGTGAAGTACTCACGTGGTGAAAGATCCCAGAGGCGGGCAGCCCTTCAGCTGGAAGCCAAGCTGAGAGGTCTCTTCTAGCAGTTTCCCTGCCTCCTGAGAACATTCTCGAGTGCTGGAGAACACCGGAAGGAGGGGTGTCTCTCACCGGCCCCCACAAGGGTCCTGAGCTGGCTCCCTTTCAGGTTGACATGGGCTCCAGGAGCCATAAGAGGAGCTGAGAGAACAGTGAGGGGCCGGGTTCTACCCGTGCAGGCCCTACAGCAGATGGGAGGCAGGTGAGTTGAAGAAAGGAGCCCAGGCCACACAGGTCAGCTTGTTTCTCTTGCCTCCAAGCCAGGGTCCCACTTCCGGGGCTGAAAGCCCTCAGGGTAGAACCCCGCTAAACTAAACTAGACCTTGTCAAGTGGACAAGCTGGCTGTGGTCAGCCTGAGTGTAAGCTGAGGGAAGCCATGTAAGGCTCCCAGCTCCAAGGTTTGTGCTAATTTACTGGGAGTATTCCTTTAGCTTGTGGGCCTTGGTTCTCACTTCTGACTTGAAAGGGAGTAGCAGGGGAGAGGGATTCGGCGGTGGAAACAGATGGCTTCTGAAACCCCGCCCAGCTTTGCTAATCCACATGGTACCTTCCCCAGCCCCGTTCCTGGGTGGCAGTGGAGCTGGCAGGCCTGAGCCAGGGTTCGCCCAAGGGACCCTACCTGTGTCTTCCAGGTATAATTCACACAGTGCTTCATAAGCCCAAACAACTCTCCCAATGGCATCGGGAGGGGCGGGAGAAGAGAGATAAATTTCTTGAGGCGTTCAATAAGCTTTAATGACTTTAATGACTGCCTTCTGGGTCAGGATGGGCTTTGTACCTGGAGTACACACAAGGGCCTGGAAACGAGGCTGGTGCTGGAACCTAGTTGTTCCTGAGCACCGGTCTTGGGCCCAGCTGGGAAGTGGCTGAAACCCTGCCAGCTGGTCAGACTCATTCAGGCAGCAACTTTACAAGTGGAGGACTGTCCAAAATGGGAAACACTGGGGTGTGAAACACACAGGCACTAGTTTCGGGGAAAAGAGAAAAGCAAAGGTGTGTTTAATCTGAAAACTTAAAAAGAGGTCTCAGAGACAAAGGCTTTGGAATCAGGGTGTGTGCATTTAGGATGTCTTACTTTCCCTGGAAAAATACGGCATCATGATTTGTGACTTTATTTCTTTCAACTAAGAAATATACTGCAGGAAACAAAGAGGGAGCCACCAGAGGCGGGGGGCGGTGTGGGGGGGGAGGCGGGCGGGCTCTGGGATCCAGGTTCCCTCCAGCCAGCTCAAGTCTGGGTTCCAGTCGGGGAGCAAAGCTGCTGTGTGAGCGAAACGCTGCCATGAAGACATTCCAATGGCTTCCAGGAAGCAGTCATATGTGCTGACACGCATGTGGACAGAGAAGTCTGGCTGGCTACCTCTCAAGACTGGTGTTTCCTAGAGCTTTCCATTGGCAAACGCTGCCTCCTGGAACTGAGGGACAAAGGTTTTGAAATAAGCCCTGGTGGGAAAAGGGGAGAAAAAAAAATTGTGGTTAGCACAAACAACTTGAAAAAAAAAAAGTGCAACTCAGAGCTTTCAACCTAACTCAGAACAGTTGTTATTTATTGTTCATGCATCTTGGATTGGATTTTCCTTCTCTGCTGATGCAAAGCCTTCTGGATTTTTCCAAGAGAGGTCGATGCAGTTCACTGCTGTGCTCTCTCTCATGGATGCTTAAACGGTCTGTATTCAGAACTTCCTGGCTGCCAATTCCCATCAGACATCAGTACTCAGGTTTTCTCTGCCCTTTCCCAGGTCAAAACCAAGGGTCCAAGCTACAAGCCAGAGAGTGACCAAGCCAAGCAACCAGTCATTTTCGTGATCTGAAATATCAACAGGGTTGTACTTTTCACTCAATTGGATCTTCAACTTCATACAGACAAAGAAAAGGAAAAAGTGCTGGTCGCTCAGTTGTGTCTGACTCCTTGCGACCCTGTAGACTGTATCCCACCAGGCTCCTCTATCCATGGGATTTCCCAAGCAAGAATACCAGAGTGGGTTGTCATTTCCTTCCAGGGGATCTTCCCGACCCAGGGATCAAACCCAGGTCTCCTGAGTATAGATAAGCAAGGCCTAATATGATGAATTTCAAAGTGATCCATGGTCTCTATTTATTTGCAAATATACTCGTGGTTTGATCTACTGGAAAGAAAACCAGGCTGGGTGTCAGGAGAGCCTTCTCAGACCAGCGACAGGATCTGGGGCAGACCATTTGGTTCTTCCGGCACCCAGGTTCGAACCTGTAGAAGCGGACTCTCCATTCAATAGCAGGAGGCTGTGCCCGGCACTGTCTGAGGTGCCAGGGGTTGGGAGATGCCCCAGACATGGCACCCCATGTGGGTGAGATCAGCTTCGAGGAGCAGCAGACACAGAAGAAATAGCAACTGCTGTGGCGATGGCACTTACAAAGGTGCCATGAGGCACCAGCTTGGGGCAATCAACGGAGGAGGAGGTGAAGCAGGCATTTTACACATGTTCCAGGCGAAAGACACAGCAGGAGCAGAGGCCTGGGGAGCATGGGACTGCTGCTCGTGAGCTGGGAACTAAACACTCTTCCATAAGAGAAAGGGTGTGGTGGGAAGTGGAAGACAACAAGACGGAGAGGTTGGGGTGGGTACCCTGTGGGCCTCCCGGTCCTCCCTCCCTAGCCCCCGATGCTGGTGAGATTGGAGCAGCTGACTTATCCAGCAGTGGCTCACCTGGACCTGTGACATGAGCTAGATGACCTGTCACCATCAGTACCATAAAGGCCTCAGGCACCTTACCCAAGCCTATGTTATTAATATTTAGGATACAGTCCTAAATATTAAGCTTGGTGCTCCAGGCTCCCAGGAGATCAGAAACACAACAGGAGTCAGGGCATTCACTTAAAGGTAGATGGCAGACGTGCTGAAGCTGTGAGAGGCAACGAGGTGACGTCCACCCGTGAGAAAAGAGCAGAGAACTGCTCAGGAGTCAAGAAGCTCAAACGGGTGGTTCGATGTCGGGCGAGGAGTCCCACAAACTCAGCAGCCCTGGGGTCACCATGAGGTAGCCACACAGAGCGTCAGTGATGACACCTGCCTGATCCCCTCCCCGCAAAGCCAGGTCATGGGAAGCCCTCTTTCACATTTCAGGGATTTGCTTAGATTTTTCAGTCCTAGCCTCTGCAGCCTCTCTGCAGTGGTTCCTGCGTCTGGAAGCTACTGCCCGGACATTACACATCCAGACCTGCTCCCTCCCTTCTCTCCCTGCTCCTCCTCACCCCCAGGTGACACCTCTCCTTGGCCTCTTCCAGTCCTGCTCTCCACTCCCCTCGCTTCCTCTCAGGCTTGAAACACCCTCAGCAGAGAACACCTCCCCCTGCCCCTGGAATCTGGGTCTCCATCCTTCTCTCCCAAACGGCCAGTCTCACATTTCCAACCAGGACATCATGACCTGAACGTCTATCATTCTTCCAAGCCAGTGCATGCCACATGGATGTGTTCATCGCTATTACGCATTTGAAAGTGCATCGGGCCCTGGTACTTCTGTAACAGAACCCTCACTTTCCACTTCTCCCTAAACCTCTGCAGCGAATTCATCCTGCAGCTTCTTCCTCTTCCTCCCTGGTGTCCCCACACCCTGGGCTCCCTGCCTTGTTACCTTTTACAACACTGCTGTTTCTTCCTGGGATGCAAGGCTTCACCTTCCTGTTGCAGGTAAATGAACTCTCTTGAGTGTGGGTCTGTGTCCCTACCCCAAACAAGACCCTTCATCTGCCCAAACCCGCAGCCTGGGGTGCCATGATTGTCACCATCTGCACTTTTCCTCAGTCTCATTTTGGGATCATGCCCTGCCCTCCACCACTGAGAAGCTAAGAAAGCTGAAGATCCTCTCCCAGAAAACCTGCAGGTGAGTCTCCTCACTGTGATGTCAAAGGAGATCAGAAGCACATTACGAGTCAGGATGCTCACTTAAAGGCAGATGGCAGACATGCTGAAGCTGTGAGAGGCAATGAGGGGATGTCCATCCATGAGAAGAGAGCAATCAGGGGTGTCATAAGGTCCCTGAGGCCCAAGCACAGTCCAGACGCCAGCCTCCACTCCCACTTCCTCCCGTCTGGCCACCTGCTCTTCCTCACACGTGCCATTACCACCCCGGGCCTTTAGTCATGCTCAGGCCAAATGCCCTTGCCCCCATCAAGCCTTCCCTGGTCACCAGAAGGTTCTCTCCCTCAATGCACTCTCTGTGCTTCTTCTGGGCGGCACTGCTGCCCCGGAAAGGAGGGAGCGAGTCTCCTTCTCAGTGACCCCACAGGCCTGGCCTGTACAGAGTGCCCGGCGAGGACTTCATGGCTGTAATTAAGGTAAGTGCTAACAACCACCGGTTTGCGAGAGCAGTTGAAGCAGGTCCCTTGCATGCTTTTTGGGGTGAAAGAGAGCAAGCCCAGAAAGCAGGCAGATGTGACATTTAGATTCTGAGGAAGAAAACTGCAAAAGTGTCGTCCGTTCTCAAACTTCAGCCTATGCCGACTGTCAGTGAGAAGGATCAATGCCCTCCATCATCCCTGTTCCAGCCAATCCTCCACCTTTTCTGAGACACAGAACCTTGGAGCCCTTGCCCACAATCGTCCTTATGGGGAGGAGGACTGCAATGAGGCAGGAGCTGCCCTAGACCGAGAGCCAGGCGGACCAGTCAAGAGATGCCCTGAGTTTTGTTTCCCCAGGGCGAGAAGGGACGACAAGCCGGCCCTGATGTGACGCTCTCACAGGACCACGTGTGGGAAGGAAGCTTGCTGACTGGCTGCCGCCACGGGTCGTGAGGGCCTTCCCAGTGTTTCACGTGTTGCTATTTCCCCAGCAGGATTTGTGTTTGCTGGAGCGGGGCCTGGTGGCCCTTCTTCAGGGGGTCCGGCACCGATGGGCTGCTGCCAACCTCCGCTGCATTTGCCTTCCTGCCCAAAGGACGTCTCGGAGTCCGAGGACCGGGTGGGGAGACACCCCTGTCTTAGGTCCCAGGTGAGGACACTGTGGGGAGAGGCGGTTGGCCCCACAGTAGGTGCCCGACGAAGGAGTGGGACTGACTGCTGCTGAAACAGGGCCCCGGGCTCTCTCCTCTGCCTCGTGTCACATGGGATGACTCTGATGCAGCGAATCTCCTCAGCTCAGTTTTTTCCTTGGAAACTTCTGGGGGAAGGGGCCACACCAGTGCAAGCTCCTTTGACGGAAAGGTCTTGGCAAGAGGGAGCAAGCTTTACAGCAAGCTCTTTCCTTCTTCAGAAAATTCTAAAGTTTCCTGTTCTGTCCTGGGCTTTCCCTGCCAGGGCAAACTGTGTGACGCCAAGGGGAAGCAGTATGGAGCAGTGCTATTTAAAGGCACGATGCTACCAGCTGCTGTCAGTGAGCGCTTCTCAACGCAGAGCCGCACGAAGTCAGCTTGGGGAAGGGAGGAGGAAGGGGAAAATGACAACTGGCTCCCAGCCATTTATAGATTTTTTTTGAAGCACTGTTTTCATTTATTTCAGTTTTTTTATCAGACAAAGTGGAGAGCTGCTCAGAATGTATCACTTGCCAATGGCACTAGTCTGTCACCTTTAAAAAAACTCTTTGACCCAAAGACAAAGTAAATGGTAAGCTTTAAAAGTGTAAGCATGTTACAGGGGTAGTAAGGGGAAGGTCTTCTCATGTCCCCCTTCTCTGGTCAAAAGGGCCTGCAGGATAGAGGCCTTGAGTCAGTCAAGCTCCTCATTCTACTCACACTAGAAGGGAAATTATTTTTAGACCAGATTAGAGCTAAATATGCCTGAGGACAACATCAGGTTCTGACCGTTTTCACTGATCTCAGTCCCTTCACTCTGGGTTTTATAAAATCACAACTTAGTCTAATCACAGAGTCTCAGATCAACACAATAAAACTTAAAGAACTGACTCCAGGCCGAGGTCTGGTAGGTTTTCCATGAATCAGAAGCAGGATTGGCTCCTGGCCTCAGCTCATAGGCACTGTCAGGAGGGCAGAGCAGACAGACCCGGAGGTCAGGAATCAGGGCGCTGGGGGGCTCAGTGGGTCTGCTTTTCTGGGCCTGGGGTCCAGGAGTAACTTCCCTCTGGGCACCAGATCCCTCATCTTCAGGGCAGGAAGCTGTGCTTGATGATCTTCAAGGCCCCGCAGGCTGGAGGCTGTGCAGGACAGGCAGTGTGTGTTCTGGAGCCAGCCACGCCTGGGCTCAAGGCTTGGCCCTGCTCCTTACTGGCTGTCCCACCTGTGCAAGTGACTCACCTCTTCAGCTTTAATTTCTTTGACTATAAGAGGGGAGCCATAATGCCTACCTTAAAGAGTAATCCTCATGAGGATTAAATGAGATGCTCCAAGTAAGCACTTGGCCTGATGCCTGGCATACTACTTGATCCATAGATGTCAACTGTTACCATGGGGACCCAGTTGGGTCTGAGGGGGAAAGACTGAGTCCCTGGGACAGTCAGGGCATGTGTGGCTGCAAAA